TTATAGAGCGGGGGGGGGGGGGGGAGAAGCTGGTTTCTGATGACGCAGCAGGATGTGGAATCAACACATTTTCGCTGCTAGAGTCGTTTACAAGCAGAAAAATGTCTGGAAGACAACTGTTCAGTCAGGTGGGCTCGACACGTCGGACGGCTCAGTCCACGACTGCTGTAGAAAAAAGTGAATGACGATGCTTCTTGGTTTTCGCCAAAGCAAAACAAGCGCCACGGAGATAAGAATTAAAAACACTTATTAGACACTATAAGAGGCGCCGAGGAGTATAAACACACACTATTTGACACAGTAACAGCCTCAGTGGTTGAGCCATGCAATGGAACAACAGAGAAGTACATTTTTTTCCGCACAGGAGTGAAAACAGTGTAACACCGAGCGATCCGCGTGCAACAACAACGGCCTCGTAGCCTGTCGCCATAACATACCCGTAGGGAGCAGCTCAACTTTAAGACGAATTAATTACCTCCCGTGCGGCTTAGGGGAGAATAATGCCGCATTAAAACGATTAAATAAAAGGATCTACCATCTTACCTAGGCGGTGCTGTAATTCAAAATGGTAGCGCCTGCTTCCGTTTGAACGTCGGGCATACTGCTGAAGAGGCTGCAGAGGGGGAGGGCTGCTGCAGCTGCTGCACCCGGAGGATGCTGAACCCTCACAAAACGACCCACGAAATACCTCAGAAACACACAGTACACGTACACGAAGCCTGTACATGCCCGTTTAATTTATTAGAGCCACTACAAGAATAAACGCTACCTTCAGAGCCACGGGGTCCTGCGCCAAAGGGACAAGCAACAAGTGCGACAATTCAGTTCGAGCTCATTGGGTGCTGTGAAAACAAATGACACAGAGGAGTTAAAAGTGCAATATTTATTAACCAAATATACCCATGTAATACTCTGGTCTCAGCCTGTTAAATGTCAAGGTCCCTCCTTTCTCTCTTTTATGACTGCAAACTGAATAGATCTGGGATTTACACAGACATTAAAGCCATTTGGTCCTGGGAAACTGTAAAGGGCATTTTTATTAGTTAATGGTCGTTTTAAGAGTACGTTTTTAAAGCAACATATGAACCAACATGATAAACAATCCTTATTTGCAGCCCTGCATTAGTCTTATTACAGTGAGAAGACAGATGCTCAGTTTGAAAAACACAATGCATAACTTGCTACACACTCTTAACAGCAGGTTAAGTTATCCATGTTTCAGCTCAGTCTCTTTCTCCCCACTACATTTGGGTCTCTTGTATTCACACTACCACCCCTTGGTTTGGCAAGTCATTCAGTCATTTATTACTTCTTACACTCTACTCGACTCAACACCTGGTGTTTCACCTGATCTGGGTGGAGGTTATTGTGATAAACAATCATCAAACAACTTTTAAACTTATGTAGATTTAGTAAATCATTTTTCTAAATGATTAGCTACCCCACAATGGTTCCACATATCCAACTGTGTACAAGCCCCCCCGGGTCAGGAATCAGTCAAGTAGCATGTAAAAGTAGCAGGATGTTAGTGGTGCCATTTAACTATTACTGTTTTATCAAGACTAGCATAATTAACTTTCATAGCAAACCAGACCATTTCTCCTAGTAGCACAAAATGGATATCCTAGATCTTACAAGCGCATCAATTCAGACTGTGACGATTTAGCCGTGTCAAACATAACAGCATTAACAGACATGCAGGTAATCAGTGGTGTCTTTCCCCTTGCCTGTTTTAATCTATTTTAGTGCATTTAAAACCCTCACAGACACACTGCAGCTGCAAGGACATTTGATTTTATCGCATAGAAAATTAGGCAATTATTTGTTTTGTCTGGAAATGTACTCTTCAGCACTCCCCCTCTGACCCCGTGTCAACAAATGTCCTCCCATTTTCTGTCTGATGCTCTTGTTTCTCTGACTGCTGTGTCCCAGGTTCAGAGGTGTGCTGATGGCGTGTCCGTGTCAGCCTTGCTTCGGCCTTTCCCGGCTATCGGCCTGTCTCTCTCCTCCCAGAGTGTGACCCCGTCGCAGGTACAAATCTGTTTGGGATTCTGGAAAAGGCTTGCAGACCTTGCAATGATCCCACAGGCCAGCCTGCAAAGGACAGAAGTGGAGAGAAAAATGAAGACTTTTTGCAACAATACACATATATATAACTCAAAATCAGTCTCATTACTTGACAAATGCTTCATAAAATATTTTATAATGCATAGTTACATATATATAACCATATGAAAGTATGTTGGAATTACTTTCACAAAACAATCCCAACTCAAGGTCCATTTAAACACTTTGGTCAAATTACAATTATAGCTTTTAGTCATGGACATCATGCAAACAGTAGGTGTCACTTGAGAAGATTCCAAATTTGCTGCTCTGGAACCCCAGTATTACATCAGTATATACACAAAAAAATACATTGAGAAGCTAAACTGAGCAGAGACAGACCATATTACATAAACACCTTGTGCAGTCTGAAACATCAGCACAAACCGCAGCCTCCAAAGTCACCAGTGCTGGTTCAACGCCTCTCAGCGGCTACAGCTAACACTGCCCGTCTGTAATCAGTTATTCCCAGATGCCTGCCAGCTTATCCATTCTGCTGCTGACCTACCTTTCCCCTGAGTTTCCAGTTTGTTTGGAAAGAATGTGACCCCCTCGACCCAGGTCGTCCTCCTCCGTATCCACTACCAGCGATCGGCCAATCACGTCCCAAACCTGCAGCGTGGTTTCAAGAAACATCTTTGCTTCCTAAATCTTCATTTCTCTCAGTATACTGTAGTTACATGGCTTACTACCAGTGCCAGATATAACTGTGTGCATGTTACCTTTAGTTGGCTGTCTTCTAGTCTAAATGAGGCTCTGCCATCTGGTCCAGCAACAATATTTCCCAGATCACCTACATGCTGAACAACAAGACTGCATGTTAGAATTCTACAAGACACAGTGAATAAACAAGGTTTATACAGCACACAAGCCAGAAAACACCGCCTCAGTTACAGCAGCTCTTCCAAACACTTGCTTGAACATTTCACACCTGGAACAGAGCTGCTCAAAATGGCCCCTGAAGGGACAAACCTGGGGGATATCACATCTTCTATTTGGCTTGTGTTGAAGTTTTACATCTCTTGAGGGATTGTCAGAATTTTTGAGTCTTTGATTTACTTTGTTTTGCTCCTTGAGCCTCTTACATCAAAATGTTCTGGCACAGCTGATCATCACAAAGCAAGTAGGATCCAAATTTATAAAAATGAACAATATGAAGTTACATAGACTGTACCCTTTCAGAGTCCCCTGGACCGCCATGTTGTCTTCCAAAGGGGTTAAAGTGCTCTCCACAACTGGAGAAAGACACTGAAATTAGTCACATATAAAATGTGTAATAAATTAGTTGGCAGTGTAATTTTATACATTTAACTGTGGGTAAATATAAAACTTCTTGACTCCAACAGAGAAACATGGATGCCCATCCTGTCACTTTGTGATCCTACCTGAGGCAGCCTAGCGTGAGGTCCCCTAAGGTGTGGACATGGAGGCCGTGGGGTCCAGGCTCCAGCCCATCAATGGTGCCATCGATCAGGCAGCGCTCCTCAGCCAGCTGCAGGAAACGCACCACCCCCTGGACTGTTCCCGGACCAGACAGCATGGCCACTGCTGAAACCAGGTCTGTCAATGTGTACACTGTGATCACACTTGTGTTTACATCTGACTGGCACACAATTCAGTTTGCAATTTCAGTTTACAGAGTATGGAGGCATCATAAATGCACCTGGAACAACGGCCAGCGATCAGATTGTTTCTGATAAGTTTTTTTAAGTGAGAAACTGAGCTGAATGTATAAATACAAGGACCAGTTACCATTTTAATCCTATCTACAAAAGCAGCCAATGTTCTGAAATGTTAAATTTGTTCTAAAACAACCACCATACAAAACCTTTGTCTAACTAAATAGGAAATTTTGGTTTTAAATCCGAAAATATCTGCTTTATAACTCAAGTCAACAAGCCTAGAAATCTGACCAGACTTTTGGTACTGGACAGTGCTGAGAACACATTTCGGTCGGTATTAAAAGGTGCTGAGATCTGTTAGGTAATTTCTTAGTTAGATAGATATTGATTAGAGATCTGTTGTATTAAAAAATGTTAGTGTAGACAGGATGTCTAGCTCAGGCTGTTAAATGCTTAGTTCATTGTCATGAGTTCTGCAGGCTGCATATGTGGGCCCCTGAATGTCCTGTATGTTTTTAGATGCACACCACTAATCAACAGCCACGCACTTGAATTTTCTCCATGTTTTGACTACTGCTCTGGTCAGCTGCCAAGCTGGCATATCAGGTGACGTCACGGTTTGACGTTGCCCGTATAGGATGGGGCTAGCCCAACGAAGTGATTAAAATTGTATAGGGTATTAGGTTTGGGGTCTTTTTCATCTTCCGGGCTGCCTGCACGCAGTTTTGGGGGTGGAAGATGCCTGGACGTGTAATGTTAATTTTGCCTGTGATCCTTTGAATAAACCAGCACGGTTATATTTTTTTATATACTCAAGTGGTCCGCTTCGTCTCTCTGAGTTCCTGGTTGAAAGAACCGGACGTGGCTTTATAATAGAATAGAGCCTTTAGATCCGACATCCAGCCTATTGTTTCTCACCTTGCTCCGACCCTCCGAAGCCTTTCAGCACAGCCCTGCGTCCAGTGCTTTCTATCAGAGTCTGCACCTCTGCACTGGTCAGAGCAGATTCCACCAACACCTGCTCTTTACCGACATCAATACTGACAGACTTCACTCCTGCAATTACATTAGAACCAATGGACATTGTCAGGTTGTCCCAAGGTTGTGCTAGCCTAGCATTTAGAAATATCTGTAGGTATATCAACTTTTCACTTTTTTACCTACAACTAGTACAAATGAGACAGTTCTTTCCCAGACAGAGTTTAGGAGAATATCAGGAAATAAACTGGGGTTTATGTAAAATGTAGCATAATCCATATGACGTCTGTAGAACTTATTTGGATCTTAGATGTTTTGTTTATTGCATTCTTTTCTACAGATTAGTTACATGCATTTTAATGTAAAACATTACATGCAAAGTGCTACAAATGTGCAAATAAAACTTGACTTACTAAGGAACAGGACATAATGGAGTCATGAAAAACATTTATACTGCAACTTGAATGTGTGAACAATGGGCAGACATGAACACACCTGGTTTACCCTCCAACGCAGCTCTGACTTTATTTGCGCATCGCTCACATGTCATCTGCACTGCAAACTCCAACTGTGGAAGGGAAAATGTACACCAAACACCTGTAGCTAATAGCAGGCATTTATAAACTTTACATCTGTATCTGCAGCATGTAGCTAAACCTGGACAGTTAAGTAACTGCGCAGGGTAGTACTGGAGTTTATCATTTTAGCCAGGAGCAGAATTCAAGACATTGTTTTGACGATTTATTATTAGCACTAAAATTGTCACTCCGCACAACATGAACTTAAGGCGTGACAAAAACAACGTCAAACCTTGGTTGGCCTCTGTGTGTCCATTATGACCCAGCACGTCGCCGCCTGGCAGCTGACAACTGAATTAAATAGATAACACTTTCAGAAACGGAAACGAAACGACTGTACTTGCTGACCACATCTATGCTCTGCTACTGATGGGCGCCGCCATGTTTGTGGGGTCACAGTGACGGTGCTGCACGTTACCGCCACCAGGTGTCACTTACCTGCCACTGCAAGTCATTTATTTTTTATCTTCGGCGGACAAACATCTTTACCTTCGGCTGTATTAGATCATTTGAGAAACGTGTGACATTCTCGGTGGCGAAAAAGTGCACAATTCTGTTACTTAAAATCAAGTAACTCCTTTTAATTAATACTATATTTTATATTATATTGGTGTATTTTGTACCGTTATACTATGGCCTTTTATATTTATATTAAATATTACATACCAATACTTAACACTATTTTGGTGTAGTTTATATCACCAGCTTCATATACAGTATACTTTGCTGATCTTGCTATTAAAACATTACTATGTCACTTCACTTGAGACCGTATTGCACCACTAGTTTACAGCACTGTACGTGTAATTTGTTATTTTAATTTAATATACACACACACACACTTCTAAATGTTCCTATTTTAAACTCTTTAAATCTGTGCCTATTGCTGTCCTACACTGCTCCCCCTGTAGTATCAAAAGAGGTTTAGTTTTTTAAAAGCCAAATAAGAATTTGACAAGGAACCAAACAGGAACATATTTTGTAGTTAAAATATTTGAAAAATTAAGACATGATCTTCATGCAAAAAACCCAAATGGTTATTCTACATGTTGTCTTGGCCAGGACTGTTAAGGATTACTGGCTAGGTAGGACCCAAATATGCAGACACACGAGGCAAGGGAAGGTTCAAGTAGAACATTTAATAAATAATACAGGACGAAAGACCAAAGGGAAAAAAAATACAAGGGCTCAACCTGATGACAAGAAACAAGGGATACCAAAGGGCTAAACTAAGCAGTTTGGTCAGGGACCTGAGTAAAAAGCCAAACTGGAGAAAATAGCCAAAGAACTAGTGACATATCTAAGAAACAAACCAAACTAAACCAGGACAGGGACAAACATGAAACAGATTCAAGGCTTACGTGAACAGGCAGGGTGTCATGAACAGACATGGCAAGCAGAATGAACCAGCAAGAGGCTGCGGGAAAGGAGGAGAATATATACACAAGAGAGAAGAGGATAGTGAGGGACAGGTGAACATGAGTGGTGATTGCAGACCGGAGTAAAGCTGGGACAGGTGTGGGGACAAAGAACAGGAAGTCTAACCAAAATAAAAGCACCAAACAGGAAGCTAATCCACAAACCATAACAAGGAGACTTTGTAAAAGAGATTTTTAATCTCAGTTAGGATTCCCTGGTAAAACAAAGGATAAATAAATTTATTAATTTAGTTTATTGTTATTAAGGTGCCTCAGAATGACCACATCTCTAATGTGACCAAAATCATCATCCTAACAATCCCGTTTCAAATTTTTTAAGGGTGAGTGCTGCGTTAGGGTTGTAAAAATCCATTAAAGTTATAACTCATCAGTAATGTAAATCAGGCTTACAAATGGGCCAAAATATGCAAAGCACTACTTTGATGAAAAGACAAGCATCTACTAGAGCAGACCATGCAGAAACTACCTTTAATGGTTTTATCAGGGTCAGACCAGGGGAGGAGGGGACACAGATGATTGTCATGTATGGTTGATATTACATCACCATGAAGGTTGTAGGCTTAATGATGATTGCATCCTCCAGTGTGTAGCAGCCTTCATAATGTGTATAGATTGTCAAAATGCAGATTAAAACTCCATGCTCAGTATGGGAGACCACCACTACTCTGATGACTGCTGCCCAGGTTTTTGGAGGCTAGAGAGACCAGTGTGTGTGTATACATCATACCTCTTGGCATCTTTTTTTTATAATACAGATAAGCAGCAGGAGACAGCAGATGACCACGGTGTGGTGTAAAATCTGGGCCGCAAGTCTAAAATAAAAGCTTCTAAATAAAACCTCATCCAGCTAAATGTGAGGTAAGTTAAGAGTGACACACATTCATTCATCTACCATGTGTGGTGATCCAGAAACATGGTGGTCATTACATCAAACCAACACCAACGGGCCAATGTTTTACACCGAAGAAAGCTGAGTGGCAGCTCAGCTGGAGCACAGCCCCTTCCATATGTGGCGGATCATTGGCTTTGACCTTTGACCTCAGTAATATGACCACGGGCTTTGAGAGGGATGAACACTGGCCTGAAAACCACATAAGCACTGCCTTTCATTTGTGTGCTGAGCGATCCTTTCTTCCCAGTCTTCACACACACCACCCACATGGGTTATGAATTTATTCAGTGTATAGGAAGCTATCTAAACCCTTTGTCTTTATTATGTTGATCCTCAGCAGTGAGCTCTCCAGCCACAGACAAGGAGGGAGACCTGCAGTGACACCTGAGCCTAAGGGAGGGGGATCTCATTAACAAGCAAATATACGTACAGAGCTAGAAAGTGGTGTAACACCTAATCGCTACTCGAACCCTGTCTATAGCAAAGTGAGAAAGAGAGTAAGGAGTATGGAGGAGAAGAAAATGATGGATGGAACAAATGGAACAGAGGAAGAAGAGACAAAAGGAAGGCTGAAGAAAATGAGAAAAGACAGCCCAAGAAAGAAGTTGACAAAGAGGTGTCCGTGTGTTCGGATAGGGCAGGGCTGACAGGAAGTGCTGACAGCCCTGTGTGGAACAGTAGAGGCTGTATCTGAACTAAATGAGGCACTATCCCTGCTCTACTCCTCCTGTTAGCACTGACCTGGAGTCTGGTATATTCTCATTCTAAAAACTTCAAGAAAGATAAGCAGCTCTTGTTTCAGTGACCAATGCAAGGAAGCAAAGCTGCCAAAATTAGAATAATGAAGTGTTAGGTAATTTCTTACTCAGGCAGGATGAATATTGTTAGTAGCATGATACTGTATGTTCAGCCGTAATCTTAATCATAATATCTTCTGAGGCTTACTGTTCGGACATGTCCCTGAATGTCCTGTATGTTTTTAGATACACACCACACTCACACACACATTGATTCTCTCCATGTTTTGACTACTGCTACGGTCAGCTGTGAAGCTGGCATATCAGGTGACGTCACGGTTGACGTTCCTGTGTAGCATGGGCTAGCCCAACCAAGGGATAAAATTGTATAGGCATGAGGGTTCAGGGTCTTTTATCCTCCATGCTGCCTGCACGCAGGTTTTGGGGTGGAAGATGCCTGGATGTGTAATGTTAATTTTACCTGTGATCCTTTGAATAAACCAGCACGGTTATTTTTTATATATCCAAGTGGTCCGCCTCGTCTCTTTGAGTTCCTGGTTAGAAGAACTGGGTAATATCTTACAGAAGCAACCTACAATGGCCTACACAGAGAAGCACATACACTACACATGTGCTAACAAGGAAAACGCAAGCTACAATGGCCTACATAGAGAAGCACATACACTACACATGTGCTAACAAGGAAAACAGTCAAAGCTGATTGCAAATTGATTAGTTAGTTAAGTTTGATGATGATTGTTTTTAGCTTCAGCACAGAATCAGAAGCTCACGATTCAATCGAAAGCTTCTTAATAGCTAAATAGATCTTATGGTGGGATTGTTTTGTTCATTTGAACAATAACCGTAAGCCAACGCAGGGATGTATGAGATGGTTTGTCTTGTTAATACTCTGCTGTGGTATTTTGCGGCAGCCCCCAGTCCTTTTAGGTAGAGCAGTGAGAGGGGCATTAGTAATCTCACCACCTACAGATGAATTCATATCCAAGTTTTTCTGCAAATTCATAGATCAGATGTCAGAATCATCACCTGCACCCACATTTCTGACCTTTGTAGCACATTCAAGAGACAGAGAGGCTAAAGGAGAAGATGTATCAGTGCCACAGAGGCTTAACAGGCTCTGAAACATACCAAAATGTTGTTGGAGTTTAACTCTGAGGCTTACACAACCATACTATCCACATTTTCGGCACTTTGGACCAGTACATACTGGATTCTCACCACCATCTGCACATTTACCTTCAGTCCCCAACCAAATGTGTGTGCAGACACACAAAGCCCATTTCTTGAAATGGGAAAAAGTCATGTAAAAAGATGAATCATGCCCAGAGATGATATGCTTCTTTTTCAGGCACAATCCAAAACGGTGCTGCACACATTTTACAGAATCCAACCGCTGAACCTCGCTGTGCTTTTACTTGTGACACCTCATGCTGAATTATTCAGCTCCTGAAAGGAGTAGTGGAGCCTGTTAGCGGTGTGTGGGACCCAACAGAGGCCAGAGCGATGCCACAGCCCAGCCAGAGAGCTCTCCATGACTTCTGATTACACCCTGACAGCTCAAATGGAAGGTGAAGCCAAGCGCGGTCAGGGCATGGTGTCTTGCGGACACACAGGGATTCATGTTTGTAAAAATACATGGTCTGTGACTTTATTCTGGGTGTACTTGTTTTCAGTCTTTAGAAAAAATACTAAAGGCAAGAGCAATCCATCACTGGAAAGTGATGGATTGCAGGATTTTGTCAATCTCAGCACACAAGAGGCTTTTAAATCAAAATCCAGAGAACAGCCTTTGGTTTCGAAAAACAATCAGAAGACACCTCTAAAAATAATGAAACTCATCTTGTAGACAGCACATATACTGTAAATATATAACCCACACATGACTGAGAATAACCCATGAGTGTGCAATCACTCCTACACTTTTGCTCATTTCTTATTGGTCTAATTCTTGTGTGGATGAAATCAATAAAAGCAATTATAGGGAAGGGTAATGTTGTGAATCATAAAATATTACTGCTGCCATTTTTAGGAGCAATGAACAACTAAGAGCACTCTGTGAGAATGGATAAATATTTGTTTAGTAAATTGGAAATTAGATAACTGACAAAATTTTTGTGAACATCTGTCCAATCAAATCAACCACAGTCCAGAAAAAAGCAGGAGAAGAAACAAGAGAAAGTGCTCAATAAATCAGAAAACAGCTCCTTAGACAAATACCGTCCATTCAGCACCGAGGTGTCATGCATTATTGCTGACCCACAAACAATCTTAACACCATGAATGCAATGAATTACAATGCCAGCGGGGTGTTTAACAGGCTATGGGCAAACTCTACAGCTCATCATGGAGAGCATCATTAGGAAGAAGAGACAGCATTGCCTAATCAAAGTCTACTGTGCCCTCCTGGAATATCGACCCAGTATGGAGGAGGCACTACACTGCAGTGTGGGGAGCAAACACAATAACTCATTAAATCATTACACCCCTGAGTCCAGATCATTACTCAATCTGTCTGTGATGAAGCAGCATGAATCTTAAGCCCCGCTGGAAATTACTAGTGGATACAATATAGCATGAAAAATTAGAGAGATTTAATAGGAAGTAAAAGCCAGCCGGCACATGGAGGTCACCAGCTAAAAATGGCCTTTTAAGTAGGCTACCACTCATCATTATTCTGTAAGGAACTGTGCAAGAAACATATAACAAAAAGGAAAATAAAATGACCATAAAATAAATTCTTTTAAAATTTGCTCTGAGTAGGATTGACTCACTATGACCCACTTCAGAAATAATACACAACTAACACACAAAAAAGATCAAATTAATCTACCATAGCCAATATACTGAAATGCACACAAGTCTCTAATACTCGAGGATATTCTTGGAGGAATAAAACAAAATCAATTTAGCTGGGTTGCATGCAAGCTGCAACCTCTGAAGCTGTGAAATGGAGCCGGTGTTATGGGAGATTACAAGCAACAAAGGTTCAAGGTTGGATAACATAGTGAGTGCCCTAGACCCTTGGGCAACCAGGGTGCCTTTGCATGAAACCTTTAAAAGAGCATTCTAACTTCAATGTTTTACTTCCATACAGTCTGGGGACTAATAAGAGACAGATAAAAAAAGAAGAGAAAGGCCACAACTGAAGCTGAAAAGACCAAAAGATTATGACTGTAAGATTCCTACATTTACCATAATGCAACTAAAATCACCTTTGCATTAGACCCACCCAGCCTCCCTGCCCACATCTTTTTATGCTCCAAGATGGAAATGTAGCTTTCAGTTACAGCCTTAAACCAAGACTGACCCTGACTGTTTTCAAAGGACTGTCCTCATCAGTTGTTTCAGCAAGTGGCAAAGATCTGCAGTGGCCAAGTATGACTCTTGTTCCACAAGGGAGGAAAACGTGATGGTTTTACAGAAACACAAAGTTTGGAGAAGAGGCCAAGGTGGACAGATGGGTCAGCTAAATGTCAGACGTGGCCACAGGAAAGGTCAGTGTTTGTTTGTACCAGCACTCAGTGTTGGTTTCTTTTATGACTGTGGTTGTTCCCAAGTGTTTATTACTGTAATCATGACAGCCACAGGTAACAAAGCAGTGGGCAACTGTGGTTCAGTGGGTAGAGCAGTCATCTCCCAACCAGAGGGTTGGAAGTTTGAATCAAGGTGCCTACAGTCCACATGTCCAAGTGTCATTGGGCAAGACACTGAACCCCCAAGTTGTCCCCGATGGTTAGAGCCATCGATGTGAGTTGGCGCTGCAGATGGCTGCCATCGGTTCTGTACGGGAAACAAATTCCTTGTGTGTAACATACCTGGCCAAATAAAGGTGATTATCCTTATCCAGTTCGTTTGCCAAACTTTGTGGGTTTTGTGTCTAAACCAAAGGGGGTTCACATCAAAAAACTACGATTTGTTCTGCTGATAGGAGCATCAGATCAGAAGACAATTTGCATGTGCATAGAAACTGTGCACAAACCAAGGCAATCTACAATACCACACCGTTCTCTGTTAGGAAAAAATATGCAAATAATGCATGAGGGAGGCCCCACTCCTGGGTTTCCCTGTGGCCTAACAATTCTAAGGCTGTCAATTTATATATCAGCCTGCAATCAAGTCCCAGTTCACATTGAAATCACCTTCATTGTTGTGTCAAGGGACTTCAGGTTAAAGCAGAATGCAAAGGGAAGAAACAGCTGGCAACTAATAAAGAACATGGGACTTATCCTACACTTCAAGTCCCCGACCTGTTATAGAAGTATGACTGTATGGGCACACATGGGTGAGATTCCGTTAGGACTGTCCATGCGCATTAACGTGTGCCGGTGTGTGTGCATGAAGACCATATGTGCATACTGTGTGCCTGCGTGCGTCCTCATCACAGGCACAAAGACGCACGCATTGGCTGCTGGAGAGAGGGAGAGAGAGAGAGAGAGAGAGAGAGAGAGAGAGAGAGAGAGTCGGTGGTGGTAGGGGGTGGGGGGCAACCGTCGCCCGTTTTGCTTCACGAGTCGCTCGGATCCTCCGTTGACAGACGGGGAGCAGGTCGGGTACCTCACTGACTGCGACACCGAAACAGTCGCCAAACGGCACCGACACCAGACAAAACTAGTTGAGAAAGAGCGGAGGAAAAATAAAATAGAAGAGAAAGGAAGAAGAGGATCGAAGGACAGGAGAACGGAGGGACAGGCATCCGGCTGGCCGGGAGCCCTACAGGAGGACAAATCACCGCTACGACCTCACATCACAGCTCTGTGATGACAAAGGTTGGTGACGGCGTGTTCCCATTGTGTAACATCAGCATCCGTGTCCTGTCTTAAATGGCGTCTTTAGTCCCCATTGTAGAGTAGTAGACGTGTCTGATGTGCTGCAAAAAAGCGTGGAACAAGAGGACATTTAAAGGCGCTTGTGTTTGTTTCTGTTGTGCCCGCGCTTCGCTTTCTTGTCCCTGCTTTGTGGCTGGAGCATT